CATATCTTTGGCTGTGTGTGCTTTGTTCACAATCTGAGTCTTGGAATAGACAAGCTGGATGCACGCTCTATTAAGTGTGTCTTTCTTGGCTACTCTCAGACTCAAAAAGGGCACAAGTGTTACAATCCTCAACCCAATCCTCAACCGATAGTGCCGAATTATAACAAACACCATAGTGCCCTAAAAGAACTCAAAGGCAGGCCGAATTATAACAAACACCAGGGGATGAAGTAAAAGTGGGGATGAAGGTAGTTGGAATGTGTTCAATTGAACAAGCAGCTCATATTATGAGCCAATTCTTTAGCTTTCCTTGTCGAATGTCTTAGGGGCCAAGAACATTCTTTCCTTTATGAGATCCATTTGACTACTATTTAACAGTCTCCTTCAATAATCAATTCTGTCCCTTAGAGGAGGAAAATTGTTTTGCCTTTAATGGAAATTGCTTCTCGTGCTTGTGTTAAGTAACTTAGCAATATGGTTCCTGTTTGACCTCTAAATACATTGCCAACTCCAGAAGGCCCTGGGTTACCAAGGCAACATGCCAACATCCAAGTTTTAAAATGCCAGTTTCAGTGAGAACATTGACCACTTCAAAGTAATAAATATTATCAGAAATTGTGTAGATTTGTTGTAATAGTATCCATTGTTGATATTCTTGTTATGACTATTATTTTAGAATGTTTTATTTAATATAAAAGTTATAATTTACATATCCAGTACTTATATTGTCTCATCTTTTAATAAAATTTAAGATATTAAAACATTGACTATATGTTTTTAAATTGTGTAGAATTGCCAATATTTTATAAAGGAAATTGAGAATGAAAAGTCTTCTTTAGTGATAAACTTGAAAAGTAATAATTTAAAAAGAAAARAATCTTATTAAAACATAATGATTTGGATAATATCTATGTTTATGTAGATTGAAAACCTTACATTGATATAATTAACAAAGTAAACTTGTTGAAAACATTATAAATGATTTTGAAGCACTAAGGAATATGCCGAGATATAAACCAATAATATTTCGTTTTAGCATGCATGGAATAGAATTATTTTGTGAAAATATTAGAAAATATTTAGACAATTTTAACCATGGCATTATCTATCAGGATTAGGTTTGATTCAGTCCACCTCAGGTGGTATCTGTTCAATCATTACCTGTTTTATTCTATCAGTACAACCAGCAAACAATGACCACTCCCTCAATTTAGAGTCCATGATAGCTCCTTCGGATTCATCATTAGTCAATACCCAATTTTCCACCTCACCATCATGTCATTTACACCARATACTTGAAAGTGCAGGTCTGATTTGCTGTGATTTTTTCTTCTTTTGTGTCAAGAGAGGTGTCTTATTAACAGTAATTAGTCTCATCTCTTTGCATTTATATTGTTACATCTTTCAGGTATGGGCTAGAATATGGTATGTCCTTGCAAATCATTTCATTTCAGCTGGGAGTCACCATGATGAGAAAATTGCAATGTATGCCATTGATTCACTGAGGCAGCTTAGTATGAAGTATTTGGAACGTGCAGAGCTCACCAATTTCACATTCCAAAATGACATTTTAAAACCTTTTGTTGTTCTTATGCGTAATAGTCGAAGTGAATCCTTACGGGGCTTAATTGTCGACTGCATTGTTCAAGTATGAATACTTCCCCAGCTTTGAAGCTTAATCATTGAATCAGCTGGCTTTAGCTCCTTTGCATTGCTACGGACAATGTCAGTTGAAATTGGTTGCTGTTATGTTTACTGCAGATGATAAAATCAAAGGTTGGAAATATTAAATCAGGCTGGCGTAGTGTATTTATGATCTTCACTGCCGCTGCTGATGATGAGTTGGAATCCATTGTTGAAAGTGCATTTGAGAATGTGGAACAGGGTATGGTCCTTTTATTATTCTAGTCCTCACAGCTACCAGTAGACATTGAAATTAGGTACTTCCTTTGGTCATGTCCACATGTTGTGCACTATTCTGATTGAAGTGGTATATGCAGTTATCTTGGAACATTTTGATCAGGTTGTTGGAGACTGCTTCATGGATTGTGTTAACTGTCTTATTGGATTTGCCAATAATAAAAGTTCACACCGCATAAGTTTGAAGGCTATTGCACTCCTGCGTATATGTGAAGATCGTCTTGCAGAGGTTTGTTTTGTAATACTTAAATATAATTTATCTATTATTAAGAAAATGAATTATATTTATCCATCCTATGCAATGCAATGTTTACAATGTATAGCATACATTACCTATTTACCTTGTGTTTTAGTCACTGTCATTCTTTTCATTAGTAAAATTTTTTGATTGTTCATAGAAAATTTGCAACTATCCATCCCTCATATTGCTTGGCCATCTACAAATGTTCTCATCTGCTCTTAGTCTTTGTGTTGTATCAATAAAATTTTTTGCTTTCTCATAAAAAAATATTGTGGGTGAGTTCTATCATTTCCTATGGGTAATAAATATCATGGGGTGTGCTACCTTCGTTTCTGAGAAACTCCAATACAAACTACAAAGTTTCATGGAACATGCATTAATTCCCAATTCATGTTTTAATTTAATGGGTTGACTGATTATGGATCTGGATTTTAATAATGGGCTAGAGACATAGGTTTGGATATAGGTAATGGGCATGCGTTTGTAGGTGATATGGGTAAAGGTTTGTGGGTAATGAACATGGATTTGGATATGGGTATGGGCTATGAATCCAAATTGGATTTAGTCTTGGTTATGGGCTTGGACTTTGGTACATGCTTGAGTTGCTTTCTTCTATCAGCTGTAAACTTTCAGCCCACTACAAATGAACTATGTACAGTCCCTTCTTTCATACGTTACTCACTAGATTACCACATGAGGAAGACTAGAGCTTCAGCATCCACAGAGTACATATTGTTCATATGGATCCTATGATCTGGTAAATTATTGCCTGCCAGTCTTGCTGGGAAGCATGTTCAAAGGACCAAATGGAGTCTGCTGTTCCCGTCCTTTCTGATTTACTGAAGGATTGCCCTTTTTTCCATTCCTGTTTACATCTGGTGTAATTCTAATTTACTTTTCCTCTTCTTTTGTGATAGTTGATGATTGATTCTTCTTTGTACTATCTATAGAAACATTTACTGATGATAAGAAAAAAGTTCTAGTCTAATACAATATCTTGAACTTCCATGTTTCATAAATCTACTATCTTCCTAACATGCTTCTAGAAGTGCTCAGTATTGTACCTTTTATCTGGGTTAGCATTCCTTTTTTACTTGTAAGTGCTTCTGACTGTCATATTCTTTTTTTCAGGGCCTTATACCTGGTGGTGCTTTGAAACCAATCGATGCCAATGTCGATACAATGTTTGATGTGACTGAGCATTACTGGTTTCCAATGCTGGCTGGTTTATCTGACCTGACATCAGATCCCAGAGTGGAGGTCAGAAACTGTGCACTGGAAGTGCTATTTGATTTGTTGAATGAGAGAGGTCACAAGTTTTCATCAGCATTTTGGGAGAGCATTTTCCACCGCGTCCTGTTTCCCATTTTTGATCATGTCCGATATGCTGGAAGGGATGGTTTGTCTTCTTCTGGCGATGAATGGCTTCGGGAAACCAGCATTCACTCACTGCAGTTACTATGCAACCTTTTTAATACTTTCTATAAGGTTTCTACAAATTTTATCCTTCATTTTGATAATAAGTTGTAAATCTATAGTTTCTTTCTTTTTTCCTTTTTTTTTTGTTATTTTTGGAGGGGGGTTCATATATAAAACTACAAGCCTATACATGAAATAGACAAAGAAGAGATTCTGTAAACAATATAATTTTTTAGAACATATTTTTTGTACTTGATTCTTTTTACTATTTTGTACAAGGAATAGCTTGAAATCTTTAGTTATTTATTGGAAGTTCATTATGTACAGGAGGTCTGTTTTATGCTGCCACCACTTTTAGGTTTACTTTTGGATTGTGCAAAAAAGACAGATCAATCCGTGGTTTCTCTCTCTCTGGGTGCTTTAGTTCATCTCATAGAAGTCGGAGGCCACCAGTTCAGTGCTGATGACTGGGATACCTTACTAAACAGTATTAGGTAAATATCACATCTTTTCCGTGTTGCTTTGTTTCTATTTATTTTCTATTGTCTATATTTACTTAAATTATCTATATGTTTTGACTGTCAGAGATGCTTCATACGCAACCCAACCCCTTGAGTTGCTTAATTCTTTGGGCTTTGAAAACTCAAAGGGCTATTTGATGGTTATTAAAGATTCAGAGGTCCACACCAGTGGAAGTCCTTCCCAGATGCCTGCTGAGAGTGGGGAAGTTGGCACCCATTTGTTTGATCCCAATGAGAATGCAAAAATGTTTGGTCATACATCCATAAATATTGGTAATGACAGTCCTGGGAAGAAACACAGTGCGTCAATCTTGCAGGAGCATAATCAAGAAATGGGTTCATTTGCAAACTTGGAGGAATCTGAAGGTTTGCAATTACATTGCCAATGTTTTAGTAAATTTAGATATGGGAAAATTAGTGTGTTTCTACCCTAGCAGTCAGGAAAATGCATGCTGCGAGACTCTAATTGATTCATGCATCTGAAAATAACAATAATTTTTAACAAAGACTACTCTTGTAGGTTCACCATCACCATCCCTACAAGGTCAAAAAGCAGCTGAAGCTGCAGGCTTTCAACGGAGTCAAACATTGGGTCAAAAGATTATGGGAAATATGATGGACAACCTCTTGCTACGAAGTTTTACCACTAAATCTTGGACCCGTCCTTCAGATTCATTAATACCTTCTCCTGTTAAGGTGAGGTGGTAATTAATATCTTAACTTTTTGCTTGTATGTTAATGCTGATAATATAGTTGTCAAGGTTTCACTTAGGTGACTAGCTGAGTGCCTCACCTGATCACCTTGACTTAAATCCAAAAGGCACCTGTCTAGGCAACTAGGCACCCACCTAGATGATACAGCTCCCTCCTTTTGGACAAAAATCATAAGGTACTTTGGCTGCATAAGAAGAAAAAAGTATTTTGATACATCCTATTATACATTATATATAACTTGTGCTTTTCTATGGGGGGTTTGTTATTGAGCTTTAAAAGATCCTAAGGTTTTGAGATGATAAGAAGAAAAAAGTGGTTCTTATTTTTTTCCCTACAGCTGTTCTATTTCTCTCTCATGCATTAAATAAAACAGAACCTCTGCCCCTTTTTATTTTCTGACATATGTCATTCACTATCTATTCTACCTTTTATCTGTTTTGTAACCATGTGTTTCAATTAGATTGTGACTTCTTTTTTGTAGTTGTGTCTTTCTGTTCCTTTTTTTTTCTGAATCATAGTGACTTGGAGAATCATATTCAAAATAATAAGCAAAACATTAAATTTTAGAATAACAACTTGTTCTTTTAGAAAAAGATTTTCAAAACAAAATGATGATTTTATTAAATATGGGAAAGTTTCAATGAAATTCTAAAATTCTGAATTTTAGATATGTAACTTATGAATGTGGTTGAAAATTTCACTGATATATTAGCAATGTATCAAATATCTGTGGGTGAAAAAGATTATTAGAATATTTCGTATTGCCCACTGGTGAAATAGGGAAATTTTGCAAAATCTTACCAATATTTCCAACCATTCTACTTACAAGCAAATCCAATATGAACTGTTCATTCAGATAAATCTTTAGATTGGCTGATAAAATTGAAGTGGAGTACCTGGACCATGGTGCTTGCAATATATTTTCATGCATTAAAATGCATTTCTGTGTTGGCTTTTTGCCATTCAAGTCTTCATCATTGCCCCCTTCCAGTAGCACTATCGAATGGTGCGGTTTCCTTTTCTTTTTACCTCAACACTTAAAAAAATCAGGTTATAGATGCTGATTATAAGAAGTGAATATCTGATTAATGTCCATGTTTCCATAAAGTTTTGAAGCTATAGTTGCCAAGGTTCTTCATTCCTTGGTCCACAAAATATTGAGCTTCTGGCTGTTATAGATATAGATCCAGTGAACCTTTTTCTTTTTGTATTATATTTGTGGATACATGATGCTTCACTTCTTCTCCCTTGTTTGCACACTGTTGCAGGTTCCTGATGTTGCTGAATCTGATTCTAGAGTTGAAAAAGAAAGTCCACTATTGGGAACTGTTAGGGGAAAATGCATCACTCAACTTCTATTACTTGGTGCCATTGATAGTATTCAGGTATAAGTCTAACTGATTTTGTATTCCATTTAATTTTAAACATCTCATTTCTTCTAGTAATCGAAGTTTTGTTAGCTTTGTTTAACCTTAAAGTGAAAATGAGATACCAGATATTTATTGTCTGATAAAAAAATAAACTTGATAGCTTTAATTTGCATTCAGAGGACAAGTTGGTAATAGGAAGAAAATGTCTCAAGTTCTGCTGTTCTAATTCATTGTTTAAAATTGTGGACTTTAGAATCAGAAAATTCTGGGGAGGTAGGTTTTCATTTTGAATGGTTCTTCATTAATACATCTTTATCAATTACAGAAGAAATACTGGAGCAAGTTAAAAGCCCCGCAAAAAGTTACCATAATGGACATTTTGCTGTCTGTTTTGGAGTTTTCTGCTTCGTATAATTCATATACAAACCTTAGAATGCGTATGCATCATATGCCGGCTGAGAGGTAGGTGATTTTGGAAATTTTTCATTTTTCTTATCTCTGCTGCTTATTCCTTGATAGCATGATTTATTTTAACCTTAACTCTTGCTGGACAGGCCACCTTTGAATCTTCTTCGGCAAGAGTTAGCAGGAACTTGCATATATTTGGATATCTTACAGAAGACGACTTCGAGAATTAATATCAACAGTGAGGATATGCAGGGTAGTGTTGGTTCCCATGTTGATGTGACGTCAGTCAATGATCCACACTATCCTGAAAATCCTAATTCAGAACAGCTTGAGTGCATAGCAGAAGAGAAACTAGTTTCTTTCTGTGGACAGATACTGAAGGAGGCATCTGACCTCCAGTCTGTCACAGGAGAAACTGCTAATGTAGATATTCATCGTGTTCTGGAGTTGCGTTCTCCAATTATTGTTAAGGTATGGAGTATGTGTTGGAATGATCTACTTTTTTTCGTTGCAGTTGAATATGAAGTAGTTGATTCGTAATATATTTATGTATTGTTTTCTTTTTGGAAAAAGGTAATGTAATTTATTCCACACAGAAAAAGATGCTTAATACAACAAAACCCAGACCACTAAGACTGCCTGGGAACAACTCAAATTATGTATTGTGTGTTGTGAATGATTGCTTATAAAATGATATTTGTTGTTTGTGTTTTTGTGAATAGTCCAGCTCCTGCATGCTGCTTTTTGATAATAACTGAACAAATTGCTTCCATTCTTTCACAAACATTTCTGGTGAAACAAATTTGGGATGGACACTTGCTGCCAAAAATTATGGCTTTCTCTTGGGAGGTTTTTTATGGAAAAATCAACACTTGTAATATTCTTCAGAAAAAGGCCCAAGTAGTGTGCGCAATCCAAGGCCTTACGGTGTAGGAGTCTAGTGATGAAAGAGAAGCAATTTTAGTTTTCCAGTCTAGTTGGCTATGGAAGTCCCATATATGCAGAATTTCTAGTAGTATTACATAGATTGAGACTTGAGAGTAGTTACTAAAGTGCAGAAACATTGTGGTGGAAGGGCACTTGAAGGTAGTAGTTAGCTGGTTAAAGAACAAAAAACAAGGGCTGTGGAAATTTAAGTACACTATAAAGGAATTGTAGTGCTTGACTAGGGAATTGCATGTGAATCTCAATTGGGTGTGTAGAGCATCCATTGGTTTGGTTGACACTTCGGCAAAACAAGGGACAAGTAGGGAACATTTCTTTTAGAATCAAATGTAATGAGAACAGCTTGAATGAAGATTATAGGAAGAAGAGAAGAGAGAACAAAGAGGAAGGAGAAGAGATTTCAGGAGAATAGGGTGTGTTACTATTTGCACCCAAGAAAAATTTCATTTTACTTAATAAAGAGAAATTACTATGCCCTTGAATGGGCATCCAAATGTAAATAAAGAGAAAAGATATAAATACCTGTCCACAATGCATAATCTCAACACTCCCCCTCAAGTTGAGCATAGATATTTATCATGCCCAGCTTGCCTAGGTTTCTATCAAACTTCGGCTTGTGGAGGCCTTTGGTAAGTTGATCTTTGGACTTGACAAAAGGCACACATATTTCTCCACTGGCTATCCTTTCTCTAATGAAGTGTCTATCAACCTCAATGTGTTTTGTGCGATCATGTTGGACTCGACTGTGCAATTTTTATAGCAGCTTGGTTATCATAGTGCAATCTCATTGGAACTTCATCTTTGATTCCAAAGGTCTTTAGCCAAAGTAATTCTGATACACCGTGAGCCATGGCCCTATATTCTGCTTCTACATTGGATTGAGCTACTACTGATTGTTTTTTACTTCTCCAAGACACAACATTACCTCCCACCAATGCACAATAACTAGAGGTGGATCTCCTATCATCTATAAAACCTGCCCAATCAGCATCAATATAAACCTCAACCTTGAGATGCCCATGTTTGGAGTACAACATTCCTTTACTTGGGTACCCCTTTAAGTAGGCAAGGATCCTATTAACTGCAAGGTTTAAATTGTCGGTGTCGGTGAAAATGTTGGTCATCCAAATATAAGAAACATGTCAAAATGTCGGAAATATTGTATGGAAGAATGTCTCCATCATTAGAATATATTGAAGTTCTAGGATTATGCATTTACTGACTCACCACACTCACAACATAGGATATATCTGGTCTAGTCAAGTACAAGTAGAGAAGCTAACCAACTAGTCTCTGATCGACAACATTGTCTAGAAGAATGTCTTCGTCATTAGTATTTAGTTTATGATTGGGGCCAATAGGAGTTTCAACTTGTTTGCACCACAACTTGCCAACATCATGAAGGAAGTCAAGAACATACTTTCTCTATGAAATGAAAATCCCTTCCTTTGACCTTGCCACTTTAATTCCAAGAAATTATTTTTGATTCCCTAGATCTTTGATCTCAAATTCAGAAGCAAGAAATGACTTTAGTTGGACTATTCTAGAGTTATCATCTCTTATGAGTTGTGACAATAATGTCATCAACACATACTATCAGTAGAGTTACCTGGCCATTACCTCTTTTTATGATTTGCTTGTGATTGAGTGAATCCAATTTTAAGAATAGCCTTTTCTGTCAAGCCAATCTCTAGGAGACTGCTTGAGCCCATAAAGGGATTTCTTCAAATGAAAAACCTTCCCCTCACGATCAAGTTACTCCTAGGGGAAGATTCATGTAGACCTCATCTTGAAGATCTCTATTGAGGAAGGCATTCTTTGCATCCATTTAGTATAGAGGTTATGAATAGTGATCAACAAGAGACATAACCACTTGGATAGAGTTCATTTTGGCACAAGTGCATAGGTGTCTTGATAGTTAATCTCATATGTTTGGGTGTATCCTTTTGCCACCAACCTAGCTTTGTATCTTTCAATTGAGTCATCCACCCAATGTTTAATTGTATACACCCACTTGCAACCCACTAGGACCTTACCCTCAGGTCCTAAAAAAGAAACTAAACAATTATGGAATTTGGTAAAAGAAATAACAGATAAAAGATTTTTGTGCAACAAAGGAACATGAAAGGCAAAGTTTAGGGAAATATTATGACTTATGAGTGAGCTTGACTTCACCCAGACCCGAGATTAGAGTCTGAGATCCATCAGCTACAATGACCTTTCCTTTCCCTAGAGCTAATTTATAAGAGGTGAAGTGAGAAGTCATACCAATCATGTTAGCACTAGCTCCAGAGTCCATAATCTAGGAACTAGGAGAAGAAGATTGACAAGCAAGTGCAATACCTGATTTAGCAAAAGTATTGGAAGGATTACTAGAGCCAACTAAGGTGGAGGACCCAGATTTCTTAAGCTGAGTTAGTAGACTCCTAAGCTTCTCCATCACATCAAAGGAATCATGTAAAGGAGCTTGAACACTAGGAGATGGAAAATCAATTCCCACAATATCAAGATGCACATTTCCCTTCATTGTTGTTTTAAACTTCTTAGGTTTTAGATGTGGATTCAACTTCCAATACCAGTCCTTAGTGTGTTTGGCTTCTTACAGTATTCACACACCACCTCAATTTTCTCATTAACACCCTGTTTGTTTACACTTAGCTTGGGTTTGGAGGACATATAAGCCGAATGATCAACTACTAAAGTCTGCATCATGGCAGCCGTTCTACTCTCCTCTCCCTGTACCTAGGAGTATGCAATGGCAAGGGAAACAATATACTCAAGATGTGTTGTCAGGGAAAATCATACTCAACATTCAAGTCGACCAAGAAATCAAATACTCGGTTCTTCTCAACATATTTTTCAGTATTGTTCACCATCCTTAGGATTCTTCCATTCCAAGGCCTCCAGATGATCCGTTTCTTCTCAAAGAGATTGTAAGGAAGAGAAAGTGCATAGCCACACCCATTCCCCTGATGCATATTACAAGCTTCCCTTCGGAGTTGGTAGACTCGAGCCATATTCCTTACATTGAAGTACGTGGCAGTAACATGATCCCAAATGTCCATGGCATTAGAGGAAACATGTAATTGCGAGCAATATGTGGATGCTTTGAACAGACCATCCATGACATAACCAATGAATTTTCTTGTTCCCAGCTTACCCCATCCTCCAATGGTAAGTTTGGAAGATTGAGACCAATCGAGGAAGTTGCTTCCATTAAGTTTTATAGTGGTTATCATATCATTAGAAGCATAAACACTGCTCGTGAGCATTCCGGAAATGGTCTGTACTTCTTTAGGCAATTCCATTGGACTTGGACTAGCAACTTGACAGCCCTATTGCACTCCAACAACCAACTAGGACACAATAAACCCACCAAAATAGGTCAACACTCGGTTAGGAGCCAATAGGAAGCCAAAAACACCACTAGTGGCACAAAAGGGAGAATAAAATTTCCCAAAGATTAACTAGGGTTAAAAAAATTGTGGAACCACTTTCCACACCTCCATAAAGGTAAAACAACCTAAGGACAACAGGTTTCAAGTAAGAAACAACTCCAAATGGGAAGAAAAAATCCCAAATATTGAAACTGCATTTTTCTTTAATTTTTTATTGAAAAGCTCAGGAAAAAAGCAAGGAAGCATCCAATGGAGAGATGAAACTCATACTAAAATGTTTCTAGAATCAGGGCGCACAAGGCTGAACCAGATTCAAGGGTTGCTGGTGGCACCTATACGGACTACTAACATCATCCAGCGGTGGTCTGATGTTGGTAGGTCTTCCTGGGTTTGAAGGTCAGTAGAGGAGGCTCATCTAGATCCCAACCTGCTTTGATACCAAGTTGAAGTGAAGATTATAGGAAGAAAGAGAAGAGAGAACAAAGAGGAAGGAGAAGAGGAGATTTTGGGAGAATGGGGTGTGTTGTTCACACCCAATAAAATAAAGAAAAATTACATATATGCCCTTGAATGGGTACCCAAATACAAATAAAGAGAAAATGCATAAATACCCCTGCCCACAGTGCATAATCTCAACAAATTGTTTTTTCCTTTTTTCTGGGGGGGGCGGGGGAGGGAGTTAAACTACCAGGCCAATTTATGGGCTTTTGTCTGGGTTTGCATTATATACAACCCATTCTTTTAATTATTTACCAAAACAAACTCTTTGTTCATTTAACTCGATGTTACCAATAAAAAATGAAAAATAAATGTAAAAGCCAGTTGATGAGTAAATTACTTAAATCTTCCTTGTTTTTCTGATAAGTGCTTTAACAATGCCTGTACTTTGACCCCTTCCATTAGTTAAGAACCTAACCAAAAGTGTAGATGTCATGCTCTTGAACACTTTAAAATTCCTAATTTTCCCATGAAGACAATATTAGTGTCTATTGACCAAAATACCCCCAAAAATGTTCACCTGAGAAAGCAACTTTTTGGAACGCAGGGGAGGTTAAAGCATTTGTAAGAAAACACAGTTTTGGAACACCCCTGCACCCCTAGAGAGTTTTGAGCTCTCCGGGTTAAAACTTAATTTCTTTCTTTTCTTTCTTTTTTACCTCTCAAAGTGTGACCTAAACGGATAATGTGTCACCTCAGCTTGGTGCTGAAGTGGATTTTGTTTTGTCATCCAAATACCCATACTACTATTAAAATTTAAAAGCGTAAGTGGTAGTACAGAACTTTTGTTTGACTAAAATACCCAATTTTTTGAATTTGGTCCCTATCTAATTGTAAGGACAGGAATGTAATTTGAACCACTTTTCTCCTCATTGAAATCCCTCTCATTAAGTCCTTTATTTAAGTATTAATTCCCATTAAYGTTTATTGAATCTTATTCTTGACTAAAATACCTTTATTTTTGAATTTGGTCCCTCTCTAATTTTGAGGCAACAAAATGTAATTTGAACTACTACACTTCTCATTCTGTTCTCTCTCATTAAGTCTTATATTTAGGGTATTAACTCCCATTCTTTCATTGAATCCTATAGTAATTAACTATATTAAAGAAAAATAAGTGTAACAAAGAATAATTGTTTTTATTGATGATAAAAATAAAATACAAATTTAAAACCAACCCAGAATGGAGTTGTTTTGCTCTTTGGTGGCTAGTTAACAATTCGACCTTTTGGGCCAAATGTGTCACCCTAGATGTCATAATTAAATAATAATAAAAATTAAAAATGATGAAAACACACAAGTATAAAAAAATACAAAAAAAAAAAATGTAGAGAACATTTGAGCATATCTCCAATATCATACATTCATCATATCAAACAAAAATAAGTGTGACAAATAACAATAATTTTTATAGACATAGAAATATAAAAAAATGTAACAAATTTTGGTAACATATTATTTACTATCATCATCATCATCATCATCATCATCAAAGATCACCACATGCACACTTACTAGTTATTCTAAAATACTAGAGTTGCTTGGTTATCGAAGTAACTTAAATGTATCATGTAGTTACTCTTTAGAATTTGAGTAGACCATTCACATTTATTTTCAACAAGGTGTATTGTATACCCAACTTCCTAGACTTTTATCATATGTTAATTGAATGGTTTAATTGGATTTTGTAATCTTCTCTTTATTTATTTTCATTTTGATGACTTTAGTGGATAGTATGGACTTTAAGTTTGGTATTATTCCTTTTCTCTTCCTTGCTTGCCAACACTCATATGACAGGCAAAAATTTTTATTTGTATTCATTTCTGTTTCTAGGTGCTTGAAGGGATGTGCCTTATGAACCATCAGATTTTCAGGAAACATCTATGCGAGTTTTATCCCTTGATCACCAAGCTTGTATGCTGTGATCAGGTAACTCTGTACTTCCAAGTAAATGCTTTTAAAATTAGTTATGATAAAGGACCTGTCTTCATGGGCATCTATCAGTATTTAGAGATTGTATTTTTTATTGGGAAAATTTTTAACATGGCCCATATGGTTGGAGCTGTTGTTTGGGCCTTGCAGAATTGAGTAGAGTTTGCAATTGCAAAAGAATGTAGGGACTTGTGTAAGCAACTTGAAAGTGATTATAAATCATGTAATTCATACGAGTATTCAGCAAGATTTAAACTTGGAGATCCTAACAAAAATTCTGTTATTGATCTTAATCCATCTTTGAAAACCCATAGTTGTGTTCTTTTTTTTTTGGAATAATTCAATTCAATGTCCTTGCCTGAACTTTCAATTTCTCATTTTTCTGCAATACATTTTTATATTTGGATTCCAACTTTATGTGTTAGTATTAGAATCCAACTGGTGTAGGCTTTTGTGCAGTTCTGGCCATCTTGGCTGTGCATTATCAAGTGGGAAGGTATTTCTGCTTTCCCACTTATGCCACTTGGTATGGCTGGTAGTTTGTCGCTTACCTGTAAAGGATGGTGGTTAGAGTTTCTGCTCTTGGCACTTATATTTATTAATAACAATAAAAAAAGAAGTGTTGTTCCTTTTAGACCAGGCTTAGTTCTTTTATTTGTTTCATTGTATTTTTTAACAATACTCAAACCAGTTCAAGATGAGGAAAACAAAAATTAATATCCATTTTTCTGTATAGACATGCACTACGTTCAGGGTTACCATTTAGTGATTGTACTGTAAATCTCTCTGAACCAAATATCACTTCGCTTTGTTGATACTAACTACAAGGATTTATGGGTAGTCCAAAAGAGTGTTATTGACTACATAGTGAAGATTGTCTAGTATGCTCAGCCCACTGAGGTGGGTTTTCTTCCTTCCAACAGTTATCGTCGAGGTTTATTTTTGTTAATCTGATTTTTTGTTTTGTTTTATTGCAGATGGATGTTCGTGCAGCCCTTGGTGATCTCTTTAGTAGACAACTTACCACACTCTTACCATAGCCATCTTGCATATTGTATTATGATTTTTCTTATACAGTATTGCCATATTGTATGATGCTGAAGGTGGAATTCAAGTATGTGGATCCTTTGCAGCATCCATTTTCCATAACTAGCAAGTTCTCATTAATGATGCAAGCCCCATACCATGCAACTGTCTATTTCGAAAGCTTAGTTGCTTTGTCATTCTCTTCTTTTCTTGAGGATGTACTATAGTCAGAAGAGAGAATAAGTTCTAGGTTCGGGAGCTTGCTCTGATAATGAGGTTTATAGTTTTTCTTTACTTTTATTTAATTTTTTAACCATAGCCTATCTGTGAATTGAAATTTGTACATTTTGACTTGGGGAGTTTATGTCCTCTACCATTCCATAATTATGTAAATGGTCGGGCTGCATGTTAGAGGTGAAAAGATGACGACATCACTGATTCACAGGTAATGTACTAGGTTGAGCCTTGGTTGGGTTAACCTTGAAGCATTTAGTATCTAGCACCAACTCAAATTGAAAGGCTAAATATCATTAAAACGAATTCATACTCATCATACTAATTTAATTTCTTTCCTTACGTGGCATTTTTCCTAAGTACCAGCAAAACTAGAAGTTCCATGTTATTTCTACTGTTCTACGGCGCCGCTTCCTGGTGGATCCATTTTGGAGTCACGGTCACAGTACTACCTTGTGACCCCCTCGCCAATGAAACATGGATGTTGTGACCCCCTCGCCAATGAAACATGGATGTTGTGACCCCCTCGCCAATGAAACATGGATGTGCCGTCGATCAAATCAAAAACATATTGCTTGCGTTTTGAATTTAAAACAAAAAACGTATCGTGTTTAGTGGGAGGTGGGGTTGCAAAGTAGTGCTGCCGGTGTGATCTCTTTGGCCAAAGGTTGTTTATGTCGAAGTATTTTAAACTTAAAATCGTTTTTATGAATTAATATTATTGAGTCCAATGAATACAGTAAAAAAATTCAAGGTATGTATGGATTCATTAGAAAAATTCAAATAATTCTTAGAAATACATCAATAAAATTAAACCCGTCTCAAAAATCACTGTAATGGAGGTATATACACATATTATACACAGCAAAATTTTTTATGGTTTATGCGTAGTGTAAACTATCTAATATACCAAGGAAACATTGGCAGATGAAAGAAGAATTTGAATATGATCCATGTCAAGAAAATTAGTAGTTAATCAATTAATTTTTATTTTCTGGTAATATGATAATAATAAAAAAATGTTGATAAAATGGCTTAGAAAATTAAAACTTAAAGCAGTCATTTTGATAATTTATAATATTATAACTTGGTGATAAAATTTTTTTGTTCATGTAGTAACTTGTGATCAAGTCTTAATGGTTGCACTTTATGTGTATATATAATTTATAGTAGCATCAATTGATAGGCTAAATCAGATTTGAGAGACAGGTATATAGAGGTCTTATCTATGAGAAAAAGGTATGTTGAGCTTTGTAATAGTTGAATCATATGAGTTTGTAATTGTTGAGTAGGGGTTAGTTGAGTATTGACTTATAATGGTTTGTAACAATTGAGCCTCAATTTGTGATGCTTGAATATGATTTATAATGGATAAATGATGGGTTTGTAGTGGTTGAATATGGCTTATGGGTTTGTAATAGCTAAGGTTCAAAATGCTATGTGTTGGAATGAGGAAATTCATGCAAATCTGTTAAGGCTGCATTTCGAAGCAATGTAAATCAAGAACAATGTAAAAGTTTATGCCAGTTTGGTTTGTCGGCGTTTGGATGTAGTGTAAATAAAAATTGATGTAAAACTCTACTCTCCGGTTTAGATTTGTCGGCATTTGGATGGAGTGGAGTTTTACGTTATGAATCGATGTAAAACCTCATCAAATGATGTAAAAGTTTACACTTTTATCATCACACTTTTCAAAGTTTAATGGTCACTTTTTCACGGTTCGATGTAAAATATCGTCGATGTACTTTTACACTGATGACATTTTACACTAATTCCAAAGGCAGCCTAATACTACTTTTCCTCAATTTACATAAATTAAGGGTTCAGCTAAAGTAGTGGAATCATAATGTTTTTGGTAATATTCACCAAGCAATAAGAGTTGTAGAAAAGTGTTATGCTGAAATGAACCATTTACACCATAATTCCAAAAATACTTGCTCATCTACAGGAAGAAAGGAAAAAACTCCATGAGGTGAACATGTTAAGAGGAAATTTTTTGGAGACAGAAAGCTAGATCTAAGTGGCTGAAGGAGGGGGACCGTAATTCTAAGTTCTTCCATTTATCTGTAAAGGTGAACAGGGTGTGTAATAAAATAAGTAGAATCAAAGATTCTGTTAGAGTTTGGCTAATTGAACATAGTGGGCAAAGTTCAGGAGTGGACTACGAATCGCTCCCAAAGCCTACGGGCCACATTACTACTTAAATACCCAGCCGCCTTGTCGACATGGGCAAAGTTCAGGAGTAGACTACGAGTCGCTCCCATTGCCTATGGGCCATACTACTGCTGAAAGACCCAGTCGCCTCTACGGCATGGGCAACACTACTGTTGAAAGACCGAATCGCCTCCACGACATGGGCAACACTATTGCTGAAAGACCCAGTCGCCTCTACGGCATGGGAAACACTAGTGCTGAAAGACCCAATCGCCTCTACGGCATGGGCAACACTACTACTAAAAGACCCAGTCGCCTCTTCGGCATGGACAAAGTTCAGGAGTGGACTACAAGTCGCTCCCAAAGCCTAAAGGCCACAATACTGCACAAGACCCAGCTGCCTCGTCGGCATGGACAAAGTCAAGGTGAGTGGACTACAAGTCGCTTCCAGAATCTAAGGGCTAAAGTACCGAACTGGCAGAGACCTCGGCGCCTCACAGGCAGCTCGCTTCTAAGCAGCTCCCAGAGCCTAAGAAACTGAATCAACGCCAACGAGCTCATCGACTTACGGGCCAAAAGGAGAATTCTACTCCCTTAACTGAGTTACTTTCAGCTCGGGAGTGGGGGGCAAATGATGAGGGTGGATTTGGCCCTCCAATGACATTGTGACACCTGGCACATCTTGGCAACTAACTACAGTCTCTTGACAACTAGGCGGCTCGCCACAGGCAGCTCGCCACTAGGCAGCTCACCACAGGCAGCTCACTACAGGTAGCTCACCGTTGGGCAGCTCGCCATCATGTAGCCTGGCACCTCAAAACAACTAGGCGACACCCGGGACCACTTTGACAACAACTTGCCTTCGCTAAGTTGATGGTGTCCCACCAGGCGTAGCCTGACACAGAAGCGAGCTGGCAGCCGAGCCCTGGCGCGACCTGGCCCTAGCATGAGCTGGTAGCCTGACCCGGGTGCGACCTAGCCCTGGCACGAGTAGGCAGCCTGGCCCAGGCACCAACCTGGCGGCCTAACACAGGTGCCAACCTGACAACCTTGAGGAACACACCTCCGTACCCCGCATTTTACGGGATTGTGACTTGGAACGGCTATATTAGCTCACCCACTCCCCGAGTCAGGCGGAAATGGGCAACCATACCATTTGGTGGCTTTATCCCCACCTAACACGAAAGCAGGTCGCATCACAGCGGGAATCCAGGAACTGCTCCACCTAACCCACGAGGACTCCAGTATATAAAGACCTCACCCCCCACGGGCGAAGGGATGAGGCGAAAAGAGGATGGATAATCTCTGCTCTCTAGCTCCCTTATTCTCTTATATCATCTTCAAGCTCTCTACTACTATACGATGCTAACTTAACCATCGGAGTGTCCCCGTCGAGTAAGCCACCCCAGGTCCTCTGACATTTGGTTCCTTGCAGGCCTCTAAAAGAGCAACAAAGCTCATCAAGGTAGCTTACCTCAAGGCAGCTCATCCAGGCAGCTCATCAAGGTAGCTCACCTCCAGGCAGCTCATCAAGGTAGCTCACCTCCAAGCGGTTCATCAAGGTAACTCACCACCAGGCAGTTCATCGAGGTGGCTCACCTCTAGGTAGCTCGCCACCAGGGAGCTCCACTTCAGTCTCTGAGTCACCGACCACATGGGAGCAGACGAGATGACGAGGTACTTAGCCAAAAAGTTGACACATCACGAAAAAATGATACGTGACTGGAACCGGTTACATCATTTGGCACCGTCTGTGGGATCAAGCTACGAAAAGCCAAGTTCTCATCCTACAAAAGCTAAGTTCTTATCTTACAAAAAGCTAAGTCCTCTTCTCCGAAAAAGCTAAGTACTCACATTTTTAGAAACTGAAGCTCTCGCTTAATAGTTTCCATTTTTTATTAACTCAAAGACTATACAGTGAGATAACAGACTAAGTAGCTCTAAGACGCCCACCCGGCGGCCTGCGCACGGCCTAGCGGCCTGGCGCGACCTGGCATGGGCACCGACCTGGGGGCCTGGCTCAGGCACGAACTGATGAACTGAAAAGGCACCAACCTCAGAAACAAGTAAGCAAGCTCTAGCTCTCAGATTGTGATTTCTAGCTCGCAGTCTACTATGAGAGTACTAACTTAGCCATCGGAGTGACCTCACCGGGTTAGCCTCCCCGGGTCCTCTGACATTTAGTTCCTTGCAAGGTAGCTCACCTCCAGGCAGCTCATCACGGTAGCTCACCTCCAGGCAGCTCATCAAGGTAGCTCACCTCCAAGTAGCTCATCAAGGTAGCTCACCTCCAAGCGGCTCATCAAGGTAGCTCACCACCAGGCAACTCATCAAGGTAGCTCACCTCTAGGCAGCTCGCCACCAGGGAGCTCCACTTCATTCTCGGAGTCACCGACCACATGGGAGTAGACGAGATGACGAGGTACTTAGCAAAAAAATTGACACATCACGAAAGAATGATACGTGACCGGAACCGGTTACATCAAGAATTAATTACAGTATTTTAAATAATTGTAGTGTTTTAGAAATACAGTAGTTTTATTAATTACACTAGTTATAATTGCATTATTTTTCATACAATAATTAGAATTGCAATATTTTGAAAAATACAATATTTATTAATTAATAGTATTTAAAAAATGCTTAATTTATTAATTAACAATATTTTTTGAATTACAGTATTTTTCATAATTTCATAATTATTACAGTATTTAATAATTAACAGTATTTTCAAAAATACATTATTTTTCATAATTTTTAATAATTAACAGTATTTATTTAATTAATAGTATTAATTACAAATTTTTTAACAATATTTTCAAAAATACATTATCTTTCATAATTTTTAGTAATTAATAGTATTTATTTAATTAATAGTATTAATTAAAATTATTTATTTAACAGTATTAATTACAAAATTAATACTATTAATTCATTTTTTTACCAAAAATACATTAGTGATATCTATTTTTTTGCTACATTATTTTATTTCACTTTTTTTACCAAATTCCGTGCATCACACGGGTCCCCGCTTGTATATATTAAAATTGGACGGTCCATGTCAGCATGCCTCTCCTTTAAGAGAAGTTATTTATCTATT